CAAGGACTCGTCAATCTCTTCATCTGAGCCATCATCATCACTATCCTCATCATCTTCCCTCACTCTGCCGTAGCCTTAAAAACAAATGAATAAAAGTGAAACACAATCTAACTGGCAATCTTGACATTGTATAGTCATGAAAATGTTAATACAAATGTGAGCCTGTCCACAACTTTTACAGCTCTGCACTTGAAAGGAACATGAGGTGATGTGCAGATTATTCGGCACTAGCACTTCTTTAACCCCATTTTTATTGAAAACATTTTTAGTAAGTTACAAACATTAACTTTCCTGGAATTTACCCCACGCAACCCTTTCCAATGTTACAATAGTAAACAAAGACTGTGGCACAACATCAGCTCCAATATACAGTAGGTATATTATAGTAATCAAGAAACCAGTACAGCAAATAAACATGGCACAACGTATTCAGACCTAGCCTCATTGTAATATTGGATAAGCCTTTATAGCGTATTAGGTTTGTTGTATCTTTAAGTGCTTTACATTGCAACTCTTTTTTCCAGACAGTGTTCAGAATGTTTTTTTCAGCCGATGTCCATAGACACAGCGTGCAGCCGGCCACGCCCCACCCTTGCAGTCACAGCTTGACTGATGGCAGAAAGAGCCTATGGCTCCTCTTCTCTCAGTACCCTCCCCCGAAACCAGGAAGTTCAGGGAAACTGGAGTATCTTCCTGGACGCAGCAGAGGAGACAAGCATCTGCAGGTAAGTGCGGGGGGGGGACAGGGGGTGTTAGGAAAGTGCTGGGTGTTTTTTTGCACGGAGTGCATTTAGGGCAAAAAAACCCCCAGCCTTTAGTACTACTTTAAAGTAACCCTGTCACGACACCAAAGTTTGTCAGGTAAAGCTTACCTGTATATGAAGAGAAGGTATACTTACCCTTCCTGCGGACAAACAATGAGTTGACACAGAGGAATCCTCCCCTGCAGTCTGGTGGGAAATTGACACTTCCAGATGTGTCAATCTCTTGGGTTCCCCCCCACAGATCTCTTTGGTTCTTCCTGATGGCCTATACTTAAAAGGCATCTGAAGATGTTGGAAAATAGCAGTAAAAACTGGTGGGAGCTGCAGGGGGACATAGGATATTTAAACTTCTGGAGGTTTTAGTTTGCCAGTGGAGTTGAGGGGGGAGATTTCTTAAGATCAAAGGGGAGTTTGGCAGCAGGAGGTGGATGTATCCCCTTATTTTACAACTATGCCAACAAACTTTGGTATAGTGACAGGGTCCCTTTTACAGCCTAGTTTGAGGATTCTATAAACAATGGGTGTGAACTCCACAGAATAAAGCCTTGTATGCACAGATGCACTACCACTTGTAGTAACGTAATAAAAGTGCCAAAAAGCAAGTGAATGTGCTGATGGCAACCAGATTCAAGCTATTTTTCTAATTAATGTTAAATGACTAGTTACTGCCTCTGACTGAGGTGTATTCATAAACAATATTTTTGGCACATATTTCTGAGGTGTGTTGGCACTTTCTACGTATTATACACAGATCTGGGAAAGTACAGTATGCAGTAAGAGTCACAGGAATGAAAAAAAATCACCAATACATGAAATTCTTTTCCATTTACTCATAAATGCATTACCAACAATGTAATATTTCCTACTTTTAAAGCAACGTTTATAGCTTTATATAAGAAGTAACACATGTAACCTGAGGACTTACCTCTGACCACAAGATATCTTTCAATTGCTTGCACAAGAGCCAGAGGGTCAATTTTTACAGGGCCTCCCTTCCATTGCTTAACATTGGTACAGTCAGGATGTCTCTGAAGCTGACATTTCAGCTGATGGGTATTGAAAAACTTCAGAGCCTGTGACCCTCTAAAAAGATTTAAAAACGTTAGCATTGCCAGATATTTTATCTCAATAGTTCTAGTTTTACATTTTTACCAATATGAGCAGGAAAGTAATAGGGAATGGCAACAAGTTTACTCTACAAAGCAACAAAGTCATACAATAATGCAGTAACCCAGTACAACCAGTATACCCGTGTTCATCAGAGTTTCACAGATAGGTGCCCAGTGTTATTCCAGTTTATTTACACTACAGAATTATTTCTACGTTGCTTCAGCTATGACATTTAGAGGGGGCATTTATTTAATGCGTAGGTTGCTGACGCTTATATTTTAGGGACATGCATACCTGCTCCCTGTCCCATTTCCACTAGGAAAATCGTGCACTTTGACTGGGAACTGCTCCATCTGACTGAGGCAGTTGTTCATCTTGTGTACTAGTGCCAGCAAATGGCCACTCTCTGTTGGATCAACTCTTCCAAGTGGCTCGTCTCCAGGAAGCTGCAAAAGAAGACGGGGAGACTTAATCATAAATTATTTCTTTCGTTCTAGCTGTAGCAGTTAACAAAAAAACAAACATTTCATTGAACAATCTCGCACAGTATTGCAGGCAATCAGCCTCTGAGATCCTGCTAAGTTTAGTAGGATACGAAGGGGAAACCTTGATCAGAGCACTCTAGGCCAGAGCAGATTGAAAAAAAAAATACTGGAAAGGTATTCATATGGCAAGTAGGTTACTTACTGGGGAACCAAAGAAAACATGCAGGAATCTCTTCAGTCGGATATCTCTGCTTACAATATCCTTTTCACTTTTGGATGTCAGATACAAGAGTAGCTGCTTCACAAACCCACTGTGCTGGATTTCAAAGGAGGAAACGTCCGACTCCGAGACAATGCTACGGATTTCAACAAGGCACTCAACACCACCATCCACCTGCAATCATGTGTACAAAAGGAAAAAGGTAAGTGTAAGGAGATGGTGCAAATAGAAACCATGAACAAGCAAAACAGTTAAGCACAACAAAAAAATGAAAATAAATTTTACAATAATAAATAAGTGAAGAGTCCAATCCATTGGTATTGGTCATAAATGCTTTGCAATAGTTGTTCCAATATAGCATTCGTTACCCACAATAACTGAAGAGTAACTTTTCCCATCTGAAGGTCCACTACAAGGTTGGTAACCTTTCCAGGACACCTGAAATAAGCCTTGAGCATTTGGTGATAGCTTAAGGACAAAGAGGGTGTTATCCAAAGACTGCTATTATAAGAACTCATTATTCCCATAATTAAACATGAAATTGTCCAAGATCTAACCAAAACATTTTTTGGGATCCAAAAATGTGTGGCATAAGTCATTTACATTATACATTATACCCCGAGTCACGTCTTTGGAATTTCCCATGTTCACCACATGCCCCTACACATTAGTCACACAAGTGTGGTTGCACACAGACGGTATTATTTGGGTAGTTTTTTTTAGCCTTACAAGTTCAATGTTTGTATGTTCAGCCATGTGAGCAGTACACTGACAGCAACTCTATACCTGCCTGTTGCAGACTCTGTGGTCATAGTCAAAATGTTAAAATAGACTGAGGGGCAGCTAGCTTTGCAAGTATGCAATGCAACAAGACATAGGCAATAGAAACCGCATGTAAAAGCAAAAAGCTGAACATATCAGGGGTTTCATACGGGGTGAGCAAGACAAAATTTTCGCTCATCTGCAGGCTGGAAACAGCATTCTCAAACCACTTGATCATTACGCAACCACGGCTTGAAAGGATTAATAGATTTCACATCCTGGTTAGTGGCGTTTAAGTACCTGAAGATTGAGCTGTTCTGTGGCGTTGCAAAGTCTCTGTAGCACATTAAGTGCAGGATTGCTGCCATCCATATTCTCAGAACTAAAATATCTTTCCACAAACTTATGTGCCTGCTCCTTTATCCAGCCACGTATCCGCTCTCTGTGTGGAAAGAAATACAGGGTGGCAAAAGTTAGACATGACATCATACCTGGCTGCTGAAAAAAGGATGACACTGTACAATATCTTAAGATTTAAAGGTCTGCTGTACCTGTTATTAGAGATGGTGTCTTTGGAAGCTGTTCTTGCCAACCCGCTTACACCTGCTGTTCTAGCTGGCTCGATGTTGTTGCTATTTGACTGTGTGCTCAACCTGCCCCAAGTTTTAGGGTTTAAGCTGGCCAAGAATGAGGATTTTGGAGACTGTGTGGCTGTTGGGCTTTTTGCTGAAAATATTATAGAACACAAATATAAAAATAAACCAAAAACAGAAGTCCACTCAAGCCAAAAAAAGAAGGTACACAAACATGTTAACAGTTTTAGCTACAAAAATGTCCAGTGTATGATTTCAATACAATGTTCACGCATGGAGAGATTAAATTGCTCACCTAAATCTGAACTTCAGGCAGATATGCAATACACCAAGGTATTCAATTTTTTTTCCTAATGCAAACAGTGCAAGCACCAACATTTGTCTCCAGCCCCTTGCAATTCTTTACACAATAGCACTCAGTTTGGTAAAAGGGAAAGGCAGGACTGGAAGCCAGATAGCTAGGCTGCAAGTGTATGTGCTGACAAGAACATGCTGATAGGAGGAGTTAGCAGAGGAATGGCTTTATCAGCTTAAAGCGCTGCGCAAACTGTTGGCGCTATATAAATCCTGTATAATAATAATAATCAGTGTGCTGCTCCTTCACTGTATAGTCAGCAGGCTTGGGGTTAGAGAAAGACCACTGTAGTACTTCTACATTGAACAGAGTAAGTGGTGTAATCCTGCTAGCTAAGCTATCTAAAAGGTCAGGATGGACAGAAATCAAAATCCTTTGGCAGGTACAACAGCTCTCATAAATGCATTTCATCTGTGTATTTAGCAGTCTGCCTGCAGATCATTTTTTAAGAACAACTCTGGTTAAACAATTTTTATAAACCCCTGCAGGAGGCTACCCCCACACTGCAAGGATTAAGGGCTCATCTTTGTCTAGGTGCTAAAAAAAAAGTTATATTCACCAGACCACCCGTGCCAGCTCCCTGCTTCTGTAATCACTGAAGTGCGTCTCCTCCACTGCACAGATCGAATGCTCCTGGCGTCCTCATGTCTATACACAGTGTATAGAGCGTGCTGACACCAAAAATCTTTATACCACTGCAGCAGAGAGGGAAAAAACGCACGAGACATCGATCTAAGAACAAGCCGACTTGGATGGCCTGGTGAGTATAACTTTTTTTTAGCACCTAGACACAAACGAGCACTTACCCTTGCAGTGCTGGGGTAAGCCAGTTCTTTAACTGGAAAAAGGGTGATGTTTCAATACAGCTGTCCCAACAGAATATGGAAGCTAACTTAAGTGTTTATATTGTATTATTGTAATTTATAATATGAAAGAAAAAAAAAATCAACTTATAACTCTGAAGAGAAAAAAACAAAACAAGAAAAGCACACTGATACAATTGTTAATTTACGTCATACAATGTACAAAAATGTAGATCAATTCTACATGTCTGTGGAAAAAAATAAATCAATAATACATTTTATAACAGAATAAATAAATCAATGTGTAAATGTGTACCTTGATTGTCAGCTTTGTCTTCATCTCGAGGAGGGGAGTACTTTGGCCTCCTTGGCCCACGTTTAGGCAGTCTTTTTCTTTTAAGGACATCACTAAGTCGCCTATTGGACAACACATATTGGAAATAGATCATAAATCCCCCAAAACCACCCCAAAAAAACAAAAACAAAAAAAACCCTCCACACAACCCTTCTTCTCAACATGTCATTGCTCAAATCGCTGGTCTCTATAGGGTGTGAAAACACCAATTTATATCTGCTTCTTACTCACTGAATACAAATACAACAATTTCACCGGCTCAATTTGCAAGTTAGAAAAATGATAGCCAAGTTTCTCTCACCCTTGTGGGCTGAGGTCTAGCGAGTCATCTCGGTGCTGGAGGCTGGGTGAACCAAGGTCAGCAGCTGCATTCCCAGCTGCACTACCAGTTCCAGTATTGATGGTCGCACTACTTGATATAGAGCCAGAGCCATTGGTGCAGACCTTTGGAGGGCTTGTTAGCAGCGTCTCAGATTCAGCCAAGTTCTTCACTTGGTGCATCACACCTGGGAAATGACACAATGTTCAATACAAATGTGCAAACACACAACACTTACATTGATACGAGAGTGAAATGGGGGGGGGAAAGCATAAGCGTGCCATGATGCCAACCTGGCATTCATTTTTTTTTTTAAATGCCAAACATTCAGTAAATATTCATAAACATGTTCCAAAACAACACATGCAGTAATATGTATTCACCAAAATTAAATGAACTTTTTAATACCTTCTCTTCTGAAATACACGCTGAATATGTCTGGTAATTTCTGCATTAATATCTCTGCCATCTGAAGGGCTCCCACCACAATTTTGAGGTCTTGACTTGACAACATAGAAGCAATATGACTAAAAGGGAAAAGAAAAAACGTTTACATACACGGACACATTATTACACACACAGCTACTCTATGTACAAAACCAGAATTCAGAAAGTTGTTACTTGTAAGTAGGGTACTCTGATTTCATACATATCTAACCACCTCTGAAAATAACTCCTTCATCCCGATATACAAGTTATCAATAAGATGGTAAAGGATCATTGAGGAAAAGAGTAATAATAAAAAAAAAAAGAAGTGGATTTTCCACAGTAGTCAGGGATTGCCATACTCGGCATAAGAAAAACAGCAACTGGAATAACATTGGCTGATACAAGCAACAGATATTTTTAATCTATGCTCATTATTAGAGCACTCTATTGGTTTAGTGCTCGTTCACAATAGGGAGTTCCACCAGTGAGTGTTGTATTGCACACTGCCGGTTTACATTTGTTTGTTTTTCATTTTCTTAGTAGTGTACAATGTGCACACTGCAACCAGGTCCATAAACATCAATGCAGTGAACTGCCGTGTGGTGACATCCAGTGTGACGCGAAAAAATACTGCGTTTTGCATTTTGTAGCAGCGCTAAAGAAAACAATTGTGTAATATGTGTTCTAGTGGTGACCCGTGTGGTAAAACCACCACTGTATGTGTGAACGGCCCGTACAGTTGTCCTTCCACTTTTTCAAAATTGGTATCCAGGCGAGTAATCAATCAAGCATGTCTTTTAGTGTGCGGCCCGTTACAACCAGCTGGTAAGGGCAGCATTTTTTGTGAGAAGGCGAAAGTTTAACATATTTAAGAGCTAATGATCTATTTAAAAAATAAAAGCATTGATAGTCCTAAGAGGCACAAAAATGCATATCGATTTAAGTAAACATTGAAGAATAACGTCTGCTGGAAATGTGCTTCCTACCTGGACACACCGTGGTTCTTTAAAACATCTTTTAGGAGCTCAGCATCAGCAAAATAAATGATTCTAAGGATTGCTCTAAGGCACTTGTGTCTGACGGCAGGCCCCGCAGAGGAGCTGTACACTTCATAAAGCACTCCAAACAAGGTCTTAATAAAAGATTTGGCCAGCTCTGGGTCTTCTTTCATCAGCTGCGCTCTGGCGTCATCTCTTTTTAGCTCAGAATGTCCACCTGGAAGCAAAGCTACTCGGTTAGGCCCAGTGCAGCTAAATTAGAATGAATATTATGATCACACACACACACATATACAGTGTTGTAGAAGGTGCAGCCTCATGGCAAAGCAGTCACCCAAGTAGTGTCATGGATGGGTTTGGCTGTATAAAAAAAACTGGCCAACCAAACACCATGGCATGTTAAGCAATAAGTCTTATTACTCTGCTGCCTTCTTTGCTCTATTTTATTGGGCAGTGAAGGTTCTACCCCACTGTTAACAGTTGGTGAGTGAAATGACAAGGAAGAGAATTTAAAAGAAAGATGATTAGAGGCAATTACACATATTAGATATATATAAATATATCTATTATAGATCTCTATCCAAATCTCTCTCTTTCTCTCTATTCATCTGTATCAAGATATCTAGAGCTGTGATACTCGGTAACACTAACAGTGAATCCAAATGTATTTTATCTTTTTTTGTTTTGTTAAGACTTTTTTTGGCAGTGTATAATAAAGCAGTGGGTTTTTACTTTACCTTTACGTTTACCTTTACTTTCGGTTATAAAACATATCAAATAAAAATGCAGGACAGTAAGAAAACCATATGTAGCTTGGTAATGGTGCATCATTACTCTATCTGTCTTACACAGGTAGTGGTGATGTAGGGGTTACTGTCCACTTCACAGTGGGAGGATGGAGAGGAGATGGTGATTGTGCAGAATAAGAGAGGGAAGGTTAAGGGTTAATATACAGGTCAGAGACACAGGATGGAGATTAAATATATAGGGAGGAGAGGGGTAGTGAAGGGATTCAAAAAATTCCACAATCGATTAAAACCCTCATCCATTGATCTGCATACTGCCTACGACCCTTTCATTTATGTAGTCTTTAGTCATAAATACCAATTCCTTTCCTTCCTGCAGTATGAGAGGAAAACGAGGGCTCTCAAATAAAAGTACAAGTGTTTACATTTGTGATCATTGTTATTGATCATCACAGGTGATCACAAGGTACAGAGCCACTCTGCTCAGTTGTGTATATTTTACATGGTGTCCAATGACAGCTCACAGATCACACACAAGCACATTGGCTGCCTGTGTGTGTTCTGAAGCACCGTTTATAAAACAGCACTCCAGAAATACAAGTCCACTACTTTGCCATTTGAAAAAGTACAGCGATAGTGAAGTGGCTAAAAAAGTGGAACAGATCAACGAGGAATTAAAAAAAAAAAAACAAATAAAATAGACATAATGATTTGGCAGATACTTACTAGTGTTTGCATTGGCTAGAGGGTTAGGTTTTCTCTGAATGGCGCGTGCTGTTCCGGTATCCTCGTTGATTTGCTGCATAGAATTAAAATCAATAGTATAAACACGCCCCAGTGTAGACAAACTTATCTCATCCTCACCAACCTGATGGGCTGCCTGAGAACACAGATATAAAACAGAGAGATAATCCTTGAATAGAAAACACAAAACTTCATCACGCACAATGTTAGGATCTGTTTTGTCCTCTTTGGGTGCTCATAAAAAGCTCCACAGTTCAGCTCAAATGCCAAGTGGCAAAAAAAAAGAGAAAGAAAATCTAAAATAAGAAATGATGATGTAATGGAAAACCAAGAGTTAAAATAAATTATAATCCCAAAGAATTACAGTACACATCAAGCTTCATTTCAAGTGCAAACCCTTTAATTACATCTACTTGGTAGATTCACCACCATCTGTAGTGGTTCACCAGTCTTACTTCTGGCTGTGTCTCTGGGGCAGGAAGTGAAGGGACATTTCCCCAACTGTAAAAGCAGCAAAAAAAAAAAAAAAAACTAGCAGGGCTTTTAACTCTTCCCTACTCTATCCAACATGCAAAAAATCCTACAGTTTTGGCTATACATACACATTACACCCCATCAGATTTCACTTCACTTCACTGTAGTCATGTAAATTGGTTGCTAAGGAATTACTGCTACAGTAATGTGAACTTCAATAACGCTAGGCAATTAGCATTTACAGAATGAGGGGTCTCTCTGCGCACACTGAGAAAATCGTGCATATTTTTTTTTTGTATTTGAGCCTGCAAAGCATTGCAAACGCTTGTGCAATGCTCCGTCTCCTGCATACTCTTCCTACCAGCTCCTGTCCATACCAATGTAAAGACTTTCAGCTAAGGGATGACAAAGTATGAATTGACTACAAGCATGGTAATGTCTGCAGTGGCAGGTGGGACTTGTAGTCCCTTCATGCACATCGCCTGTCAAAGGATGAGTGAATGGATGATGTGCTGAATTCAAATATTGACAGGAACCTATGGGGAGATCAACTCCCTTAAATCAAGTGGTAGAGATGTGGCGGGGGAGGGGGTTGGGACGGTTCTCGATGTGACCATGTTTCAGGTTACATCTGGCATATGCATTCATAGCCAAAGCATCCGATAGGTGTTCCAAATACAGCCAGGTCAAAAGCAAATAAGCATAGTGTGGTAAATTGCTCTCCACATGTGTATAAATTTTGTATTCTGACTGTATAGGGTCAATATCTGCTATGACATTTTATTTCAGGGGCCTATATATTTTTTCACCATCTTTGCATACAGGCCAAGCTGTCCAGACTGCAGCATATGTATTATTGTTGTTCTACTTTAACAGTTTCCATTATTTTGAATTGGGGAGGTTGCAGAGTTAAAGCCGTTTTTGACAACTGAAAGCCATTGAGCACTGCATGAAGAATCCAAGGAACCATCTGAAAATGAGCTGCTTATCACCCACCTGCATGTGTGCTGTCCTAACCATCAAAAATGAAACCTCGCACTACTTACAAACAATACCCTTAATGCAGAACTTTTGCCATTTAGCAAGTCCTCTCGTGTGTTAAAAGTGGTTTATTCTTCACTCCCTGTAAAGTTGCATCTTTACAACATAACCCATTGAAGCTGCAGCAGCTATCTTGAGCTTGCCTGTCCGAACAACCTCCATTTAATCATCTCTTCTGATCTGTACTGTCTTTGCCCCCCCTTCAAAGCTATACACTTCTCTCTGCCATTATTTTATCAAATGTATAAACTGGTCTTTAATATTATGGTTTCCATTACTTTTATTTTACACAGGGTGCTTCCAGCATTTACAGAATGAGTTTGTCCTGTAGGACGATCTGGCCATTTTATTTGTTGTTATTTGCGATTGCCACGCATCAGCGAGTCTGATCAAGTTGGCAGACCTGCTGGCCATTCACTCCAAAGCCGTACGGGACGTGTCTGGACTAAGCCAAGTACAAACGTTTGTGCATTATTGGGGCCACTAGCTCTGAGGTACTTTGAATCTACTCTGATGAGCCTAAAGTTACACACACATTGGCTCTGGAGCATTGACTGCTTATTGCCATACCGCTATACTCAAGTTGGATATACAATGCAGTTCGTTTTCTACCTAACTTGGCTGTCCTACCACATTGGGTTGTGATTCGGTTCTTCATTTGATGCCATATCTATATGGATATAATTTGTCATATCAAATACACAGCAAGCTGCCTTTGTTCATCACATAGTGAATGAACACTTTTCTTGAATGAATATCTATATTCATATTTCACTTGATCAGCTCCTGGTCTACTGTTCTGGACTATAGGTTTTTGTTTCCTCAAGTAAGACGTCACTGGAATATGAAATTCTTTATACTATATTATGTTGCAACAGGACTGCCTTATAATCCTGTCTGATCAAATTTATTTACGATTTATCTTTTATCATATGAATGAGACGTGTGTCTAATTCATGAATTAGCCAAATCTTCCTTACGTTTTTTGAGCTTGAATTACATCTAATACTATATGCAGGACATACGCAGAGGGTTTTTATTATCACATTTTTTAAAAATTATATTTGATTAAAATGTTATATTTTCTATAACATCTTTGTGTATGTATTGATTCCCAAGGAGTATATCCCTATGGGGGTTTCTTCTTTCTAATGTATGTTTTTGTGTTTAATACTCCTTGGGAATATTTATTCATTTGGATTACTTTGGTTTCCCCCTAAACGGGGACTCGCCACTACATCATTTAATATTTACAGAATTAGCTGGTCTTTCTAATAAGGAAGTCGAGCTATGACTGCTCAGATTTTCATCCTGAATCTTTATAGATTTCATATGAGCGGGAAAGGGTGCATTATGAGCACAAGATAAAATATTAATATGTAATATCTTATATTTACTAGACTTTCAGCCCTAAACATAAATATATACATACAAAACATTATACACTGCCTTGAAATCCAACAGGCTGTCCATATAATGAGGAAATTAAAATAAATTGGAATACTTCTCTTTTCATGTGTGCCTTAATACATGCATACTGTTGAATGCGTATTTACTGGGTTTAATATTACCCAATGATCTATTACAGTCATCTATAGCAGTGAGTTTAAAGTGACACTAAACTCAGGAGTTACCCCTTAAAAATACATTCAAGTACCTTGGCTATTAACAAAAGTCTACCTTGTTTGTGCATCACTCGGCACCAATTCAGAGATGGTTTGAGTATCTACAGCTGACACTGTCCTTCCTTCTGGAGGGTGGCTACTTTTGTTCCCCATGGTCCCTGTGTGTTGTTGTAAAGTAGCCACCGCTCCAAGCTTGCTCCTGTGATGGATTACAATCTCAATACAAATTGGTAAACTAACATGATTGTAGTGTATCACAGGAGTGAGCTTGGAGTGGTGGCTACATTACAACACACACAGGGACCATGGGGGACAAAAGTAGTCACCCTCCGGAAGGAAGGACAGTATCAGCACCAATTCAGAGATGATTTGAGGATCTACAGCCGAGTGACACACATATAAGATACATTTTTGTTAATAGTTTAGGTACTTGAATGTATTTTTAAGATTTAATGCCTGAGTTTAGTGTCACTTTAATACTGCAGAACCGTAAGCGTATAAAAGGCTTGGACACAATCTATGACTCTGCGGGTGTTAGGATTACAATTCCTATGTTCTGCAAGTCTGGCCAGAAGGACATGCTAGAACTTGCATATCAAACCAGAGGCCATTTGGCCAAGCCCGGCGTATAACAATGGGGGAAAAAAAGGGGGACACCTTATTGGTGGAAAGCCTCATTTTGTGTTAGCTTAAAGTGACACTAAACTCAGGATTCAAATCTTAAAAATCCATTCTAGTACCTTAATAACAAAAATGTATCTTATTTGTGTATCACTCGGCTGTAGATCCTCAAGTCATCTCTGAATTGGTGCTGGCACTGTCCTTCCTTCTGGAGGGTGGCTACTTTTGTTCCCCATGACCCCCGTGTGTTTTGTAAAGTAGCCACCCCCTCAAGCTCGCTCCTGTGATGAACTACAATCTCAATACAAATAAGTAAACTAAACATGAGATTGTAGTCCATCACAGGAGCAATCTTGGGGCGGTGACTACTTTACAACACACACAGGGACCATGAGGAACAAAAGTAGCCACCCTCCAGAAGGAAGGACAGTGCCAGCACCAATTCAGAGATGATTTGAGGATCTACAGCCAAGTGATACGCAAATAAGATACATTTCTGTTAATAATTAAAAGGTACTTGAATGTATTTTTAAGATTTAACTGCTGAATTTAGGTTCATTTTAAGCTGCCCATTCACCAGTAGAATGTCATTCAAAACGTTTGATTTCAGGAGGTTGATTTTCTAATAGTGAATGGGGTCAAATTGATGATTGTTTTTGTAGTGAAGGAGCAGAATAGAAAATTTAAATTCCAAGGCTCTGTTCACATTTTGGCATTGCGTGGACGCGAGCCAAAGCACACGTTTGTTTAAGTGTGTCAAATGTGCACAAACACATGGTCAAAAAAAGCAGGAAGCCTACAGCTCAAAATGCTGGATGAACTTCCTTGCCGTGTCTGTCACGTGTGCAGCAGCCCATTGAGATGAATAAGCTGATGTGAAGCAAAATCCACCGTGTGGTCGCGCACCCCGTGGTGTGCATGAAGTGTGACCAGGGCCCAACAGTGAATGTGGTTTTTCTTCAGGAAACTCCAATCATTTCAAAATCGAATGTTAAAATCAAAAGTCTCTGATGACATTGAATATTCTGATAAGCTTTTCCCTATGAACATTCATACCTAAAATCTATGTATGGCAAGCTTTACAGATTGAAAAGAGAATAGCTTTATTTTAACCCCTTCGTGATGGGAGACGTACGCCCCGCCACAAAGTGCCGATATGACTGGCCACGTACACTGTACGTGACGAGTTATTTAAGGCTCTGTAATGCCGGTAATTGCTGATTCTCAGCGGTTACCAGTCATTAATGAATGTCTCAGTATTGAGGCATTCATTAATGAAATAGTTAAGCTTTTGTAAAAGCTTTTTTCTTTCATTAATGACACAATGAAGCCGTTACATGCAAATATGGGATTGCTGAATTGCAATCCCGAATTTGACAGCTGAAAAAAGCTTTTTGACAGCTCAATAGCCCCATGTTTATGATACATTTCAGGCACAGGAATATTACAACGTATCTCTATGCCTGAAATGTATCACTTCTGATTGTCTGGGCACGATAATAGACCTTTAGCAAGATCTGAATCTGACATGCTGTCAGGATCAGTCTCTAAGGTTATTATTAGCTGTTCCTAAGTTTGGAGCAGCCTAATAGCCAGAAATTGAAAAAGTTAATTTATCAAGCAGTCATAGGTGACTGCTTGATATAAACTGACCAAAAAAGAAGTGTTTTTTTTAACAAAGTGTAAAAAAAAATAAAAAAATTAGGAAAATAAAATTTATATAAAATTATTTTATATAAATATTTTTATACTATAATTATAAAAACATTCTAAAAAAAATAATCAAAACTTGTGAAAAAAGTGTTTACTTCTAGCTTTTTTCCTCATTTTTTAATATTTTATTCAAACTAAGTGAGGCGTTTGATCTAATTATAAAGCCCTATCTGTCCTCTAAAAAACAATATATAATATGTGTGGGTACATTTAGTAAGAAAGTATATTACTGCCATGGAAGAATCACACAGCAAAAATGTAAAAAGTGTGTCAGTCATTTATGAACAGAAACAGAAAACTAGCTCAGTCATGAAGGGGTTAAAAGCAATTCCAATGTTTTTAAATGTGAGTGTAATGGAAACAGCTTGATCTACAGCTTTATCAATTCATTGTAATTAAAAAACATAGCTTCTATGTACTGTAGGTAATTATGTACGTACATGGGGGCATCCACATTACTTATTACATACTCTGCTTCCTGCTTTGCATATGCTTTGGTATATAAAAAAAAAACAAAAAAAAAAAAACACTGCTGTACTTCACTACTTGTACTTATGACAGTTCTGTCAAACCACTGAAAGCAATGCCAGTCTCTTCCATGTCACCCACAGTTAAAAGGAACTATAAGGCGAGTGATTTCCACTCATAGTTAGAGCCGACCTGTGACAAAGAAGCTGTCACTTGAACTGTGAGCGAAATACATACCGTTGCTCGCAAACTTTCTGATCATCTCCCTTCAGAGAGCGGTGACTGTCAGTCATGGCTCCAAGCTGGGATTACCCTCTCCGATCCTCCAGCACTGAGTGGGGAAACGGACGGGGGATTGGCCGGGCACACCTGGCTCTGCCTCTAGATAGGCAGAGCCAGCTGTCACTCACGCAGCTGGGTGGATACAGACAGTATTGTCAGGATCCATCCCGGCTGTGGCAAACTCAGTATATAGCAGGCTACTGAGCTTTGGGTCATGGGAGGAGGTTAGTATAGGTCTTCCCATGACCCTAAAGAGAACTATGGGGAAAAACACTTACCCCACAGTTCTTTTTTATGTAGGAAGGTTTGGTGACCAAAGTAAAACAAGGTTCTATTAGTGGCTAATCAATGAATCTCTACATGTAACATACTAACAAGGTAAAAATCTGAAAAGACACAAAATTAGGGAAAAAGAAAACCGGAAAAAAAATGCACTTCTTGACAAGTGACAAAGACGATAGTTGTCCTTTAACAAAATATTGCAAAAAGCATTATGGAGTCATTTATAGCAATCAGAAATCAGCTTTCAGTACAATTAGACAAAACTGCCGCTAGGCAATATCTCAGTTGGGTTATTGGACCTCGCTGCTTTTTGGTCCAATATATTACACTAACATTTTCAGCTGAATGGTGAAGTGACAGTTAAAAATGTAATAAAAGACGTACTAAGTATCCATCAACACCCAAAGAGGACAATACATCACCCAATGTCATAACAGCGTAACAGCCTTCACACATACTTAAACAAGCAACTCTATGAAAAAGGGGTGCACAGTTACCAGCACAAAAAGGAGGCCACAGCAGACTGACACTTGCTAGCTTCCAAAAAAAAAAAAAAAAAGTCAAATTGCCCAAAGTGGGAACAGGAAGGGGCTACTGGGGGAATAACTTGTACTGGGCAGAATGATGATCCCAGGTACAGTGAAGCTGAACTGACTCAGCATCGGCATAAAGACCACTTACTCAAATCTAGCATACAGCCCCAATTCAGAACAGCACCTTCGATCGAAGGCTTTTTGCACAGTCGGTTCTATGACAGATCTCCTTTAGCTGTTATTTGCACACCAGTTTTCATAAATATATTGCACAGTTGCATATCTTTCTAACATGCATTCATCCAAGTGAGGACACAAAGAGCATACAAGGTTAAAAAGAAAAGGGTCAAAAAAACAGCAGCCGTAATCTTCAAATGACAGTCTAAAACTTTCAAGTTGATTTGCTGCTTAAATGGCTATCCAAAAATGTACAATAGCGTAATGAAACGGTCACCAATTCATGCAAACAAACGTGACTAAACAGACATTTGGAAGTGTTGCTTGGGGGCAAAGCAGGGACACTACTATGAAACAAAGAACTCATATTACCTCAATGATGCGACTGTCAATTCGACTGTATGGGTGCCAGAGACCGCGGTCATCCCTCCACTGCCAAATCGCCCCATCTGTATTTTGGGCATTTCCTTTCTTTAACATTGTGTCAACTGCAAATATTCCTTCCTTCGGTAAACATGGCATCAGCTCACTAGAAAATAGAATAAATGGTGCCATTCCAGAAGAGAAGAACCTATTAAATCAATTACCTGGACTCCAGCAGGGGCGCAGCTACCAAAGCCTAACAATTGATAACACATATAGAAACCATGTTCCATAGAACATACTGGATCAATTACAGAACTTACCATATGAGGGACGTGAGCTCATACAGCTCCTGGGGGCTTCGTGGGACCAGGTCAATTTGCTCCAGGCAACTACCATTTGAGGCCCCGCATAAAAGGAAGTGCAGAGTTTCGGCTATGTCTGCAGAGAGAAGGCAAGATGTTTTTTTTCTTTAGAAGATGCACAAAACCTGCAGTCGTCTCTCTATATTGGATTTTACAAGTGACATTTAACATTTTATTGTGAAAGGTGTCACCACAAATAATCACCAAGGCACTTCAAGATTTTTATATTTTTTTCTTCTATTTTCAGAGAAATAAAACTCAACTGAATAGCAATGGTGAGTGCAAAGGAGGCCATGACAATTTTAGTTCCCCATCAGTAGAAGTTAAGAAACTGCCTGCTCTGGAACGCTACAAAGCCAATATCACCCCACTTTAAGATAGAAAATAACAGCGCTCCCTCCAGCCTGTCTCCTCCGCTGCAGCAAGGGTATGTCCCTCGGCATCCTTACATCCTATACACTGTGTATAGGACATTATTATACAGGATTTATATAGCGCCAACAGGTTGCGCAGCGCTTTACAGTATAAAGACGACATTACAATCACAATACAATTCAAGACAAGATGGCAAGGAGGGCATGACGTCTCAGGGGCCTTAGAACGCTGGAGTGGCGGGGGAAGAGAGGCTCCAGGGACCGTTCTTAAAGGCTTGGAGGATCAGGCGAGTAGAACTGTTATTTTCCTCCCTAGACACAAACGAGCATATAACCCTTGCAGTGCAGGGGGCAGCCCAGAGCAAGGTGTAATAAACATTTTGCCTGGGGTTGTTCTTTAAACATCACCCACAAAATATTCCATAGCATTAACACTATTAAAGCTGCACTGCAGCCAAACTACATACACAGATAAAATACTCAGATGTGTGCTTTTTTTACCTACCAAAATATTTGTATTTGTCCATCCTGTCCCAGGATTTACATACCTCTGCTACACAGCAGTCCTGTCTAGCAGGGCAGGAGACCAGATTTTTCTCTCCTGTAGTTAAGCAACACTTGCCCCTTCCTTAACCCATCAGTGAAAGTTGAAGCAACACACTGATGAGCTTATCTCTCTGTAACTCTGCTCTTTCCTATCAGGAGGTCCCTTTACGTGGAGGGCTCAGGACTCTTGTCTTGCGCTCCACGTCAGGCATCTCGCCGCAGCGCGAATGTAATTTATTGTGCGATCGAGATGTATTGCTATGTGGTGTTTATGCGCTGCGTCGCAGTACGAGGTTGAATGTACCCCGATTATATAGCTTGTTTTTGTATATTTTATTACATTAATAAAGTATATTTTTCAATCAAAAAAAATCAGGAGGTCCCTTGTTAGCACATGAGCACTGCAGAACAACCGATTGGCTCCTTGTGCTGCATCTCCCTCTCCCACTGTGAACTCTGCTGCAAGTTGCATTCATGTGCCTCTATTTCCCCTTCATTTCATCAACTTAGAACACTTAAACCAAGTGCACGCCACTTCTATGCATTATGTTGTAGAAAACAAGAAAAATATGCTTGGAGTTTAAAAGAACCATACTTTGCTTCATAAGCTGCACGGCCAGCGTGGGACAGTTGGAACACATCAAGGAGAACATTCGGACCACCATAATGAACATGCCAGAGCTCAGGATTGGAGGTGTCACTACGAGAAGCTGCTGGATGTTGGTGAGCAGATCTCTGGAAGCCACTTGCTGGAGCAGATTCTAGACAACAACCGGTACAGACAACATACGTCAGCATTTTCCTATAGGGGCCCATTAATATTTTATTGATAAATCAAAATAGAGACCCGCGAGCTTTCCAGGACAGTAACACCCATTTTATGCATATTTTTATTTATTACAGGTATTCTTATAGCACCATCAATTTACATGCTATTCATTCATATCAGTGCCTGCCTTCAAGGAGCTTACAATTTAAAGTCTATCTTGCATGCATACACATACTAGGGCCAATTTAGGCAGGAGCCAAATTACCTACCAACATGTCTGACATCTTATGTATGTATTGTGTTAAAATATCCAGCAACCAATAACACTGCAGTGCATGACATGCAAAATAGCAACAATGAAAACAACTATGCTATATACAGAATACTCAGGGAATAGTCCCCAGGCCCTAGGGACGTGATATAATAAGCATTAATGGATAACTTGGCATTCTATAGGTATATGTGGGTAGGGAGTATTTCTCTTAGATGTAGAAAACAAAAATCAATGTATAGTTAAGTTACTTTCATAGTATCATTACCTCTTCATGCTGGAAGTTATCTACCAGACGTGCAAAACATAGGCAAGTGCTTTCTACAGATTTCTTATCCTAAAGAAGAAAGAGGAATTGAAAAGAACTTCTTTAGTATCAGCTGAAAATGCATCACAAAATAAGAAAAAAATAAACCCAGAGGCCTCAGGTGAAGGTATTTTCTCAAAGCCATAAGAACTACTAACAGCCTACTGATGCACAAATCATAAAACACATAAGGCTTGCTTAAAGCGTTCTTAAGCCCTCACGTGTTTTCCATATATCTAGTGCTAGCAGGCAATAACTTTAAAAAAAAAACCTTTTCAAACAGGTTTTAAAACGTACCTCTGTCTTCGCCGCGCGCTCCCGTCCGAACATCTGAAGAGTATTGGGCGGCCGCAAAGCATCCTGGGGCGGGCGCATGCGCAGCTCAGATGTTCGACCGGGAGACGAGGAGAGACACAAGGTAAGTCTATAGAGCAGTGTGCACCCGCACAGACACCGTGGGACATGAGAGAAGAGGAGGACAGAGGAGTCGGCGCTGGTTCGGAGACCCGCACCAGCACTGGAGAGAAGAATGAAAAGGACAGTAAAGAAGATGATCCGATTAAGAAACATTATTTAAGGTATGTCCTTACATTAGCATTGTGGGGAGGGACTTTTGACAATGTCACTTAACAGTACTACAGTACAGTAGGACAAAAGGGTATGTCTATGCACTGTAGTAACAAATCTGCACCATCAAAAATGCACAAGACTAGCAAGGTCAAGTCTCAACTCCTCGTGCAGTTCTACCAAGCTATCAGATATCACCTGCTTTTCAGAGCGAGCATGAAGAGTTTGAAGGTGCCCTACCACAAAGACATACAAACTATGGTTGCCAACAGTCTACTCTCCTAATAAAAATCGGTTTGTGAACCATGGCCCATTTAAATCACATTTCTGATGTGCTCAGAAGAATTAGAAATGCTTAAAGCACAAAAAGGCTCCAAAACGTTTGGTTTTCCACAGTTAGAGATGTTCTGCAAATGGAGGAAACAAAGCTGATACTACCTACTATCCTTTGGGAACAGGCATTCTGCAACAATTCGGGCAAGAACACAACAAGCAATGCAGACAGAAGTGACCCCCCCCCAATTAACAGCACAGGACCTGCAGACGTCTATTGAACATGCTGTAAGGTGCTCCGTACAAGCAAAACACTAATACAAAATAAAAAAATGGTATTCATGGAAGGCACCACAGAGGAAACCACTTCTCGATTTCTAAAGGTTTGACAAAGATAATCAAGCTGTTCCATTTGATTCAAAGTTTTGTGAACAGATAAAGACAAAAGTTAAACTCTTTGCCAGAAAAAGCACAATGCTATGTATCGTGGGGAGCCAATCCCCGCCGATAGCAGAACCAAAACCTTGTTCCTACTGAGAAGCATGGTACGACGAGCATCATGGTTTGAAGCGGCTTTGATGCCTCAGGGTCTGCACAGCTGCAGTCTCCCACGTTGGTTCTAAGCAGGGAGCAGACTATGTACTTCTCCTTTAAACAACTCACTGGTTGTCTAACCTTTCTATTGATCCAACCATATGTATATTATCCTGCTGGTTTCTATTCCCACACCATTATTCCACAGCAACACCACCACCACAACATCTCACCTGATGGGTCAATCTCTGCGTCAGCAGTGGCAAAGAATCAGCAACAAAGTGGAACTCATCTGGACTGATGCTCTGGCAGCAGTTGGCTGCTATGGCTAAAGCATTCCTCTGAGCATTGATGCTGAAGAACTCGAGATACAGAAGGCAATCAGCAAGTCCTCCCTGGAAATGAAAAGTTGATCAATATGTGCATATTTGTCTACCCATATGAGCCCAAAAAAGGGCTATGGCAACACAAAAATATAAGTAGATGGAAGTGGTACTTACAGCTTGCAGGATGGCTTTACTGTGCCTGCGGGATAACATTTCCAGAGCAGTGAGAGCTTGTTCTGCTACATCTATACACTGAATGACCTGCAGCTGGAACAAATTTGCAAACAAAAAGTGTTATCGAGCAGTTAATGTCAGGCCTAGTGCACACTATTCCAGAAATATAAGGAAGGACAAATGGGCCTTACTTTCTCTAAAAACACAGGGATCGCATCAATCACCACAGCTGAGGACCGCGGCAGTGCCTCCATCATATAGGTTAAGGCTCGACATGCATGGTTCATCTAAAAAGAAAAAAAACCAGACACACCTCTTATTCCTAGATAAAACAACATGGATGCACTATGGACACAACTCAAATTAATGGCCCAATGTATAATTATTATAACATTTGTTGCCTGATTCTTTTAGACCTTGTACAAAAGTGTAAATTAACATGCTTATTCTTTAAACCTTTGTAAATAAAAATATCTTGTTTTATAGCACAAGAGTAGCAAGCAAAAGTCTTGTGAAGTAATAAAAAGGTGCTGATACCACACAAGTATGAGAGGGACAGCAACAGCTGGTATTATGAAGTGTTGCCATTTTGTTGTAGATCAATGTCAAGTATATAAAAGTATGTAAAAAAATTCCAGACTGGTTTTACCTCACATATGGAAGCGAAAGCAACATTTAATGCAAGGCGGTGCTTATACTGTATAGAAGTGAGTTTACAGATTGGCATATTCCCCTAATGAGCCGTTTTCCACGTAGTAACAACATTGAAACACAATGAATGTTCTGTCATTGTGGCACCTATTATTCGCATTATGTATCTTGCCATATAGTAGGGCCCTGCTGGCAAGAAAAAATAGATTTATTTTCTTTTTAGTAAAAATCCCTATATTAGTAGTATTTTTGTAGTCGAGGTTCTTTTTGGATTTTGTACAGTGTCTATTGATTTACATATTACATTATATATTAACCTCCCTGGCGGTATTCCCAAGTGTAGCTCGGGGTTACTTTTCCATACCATAAGCGGTAACCCCGGTACACTCGGGAAAGCCGCATAGCATTTACTTACCTTGTCCCTCAAGCCTCGATGAGTTCCGAGGCCGATACCGGCTTCCGTCCCTTGCGAGCGTACGCGTCGTAGGGGGGGCGGAAACGGTGAGATATTATTTTAAAAAATACGAAAAAAACGACAGAAGAAAAAAAATGACCGAAAAATGACATGATAAAAATAAAAAATCATACCGCCAGGGAGGTTAACAGATTAATGTCATTGTCGGGCAGTAAAATCTGAAGCCATCATTATTGGCTCCTGGGCTCTATATTGGTTTAAACATGTCACGCCACTGAATGTTGATGGGTTGCTTTCAAAGCTGGCAGTTGAAACAGATACGAGTTCTAAAACATTTGTCATTTCAGTGGTTCTGTTTGAGAGGAGACCTGTCCTTATTCAGCGCTCTGAAGAGATTTTTCTGCGTACCATAAAATGCTTCTCCTTTCTAATCTATTGAGGGGCATAAACTTGCAACTCTCTGTAATACTTTCTCTGAAAAACGAGGCATGCTTGGAAGGAGGAGAGGTTACACGGCGGCTGGCTTACAATTTTTCTATTTGCCAGTGTTCTAACCTCATTAAAAGTGGCAGTATAACCAGACTGTGTCTGAATTTCTGTGTCCCCCAATGGACTTGAACAAAAAAAGATTTCACCTTTTGAACAAAAATCTTATTTTAGGGCCTCAAGCTATTTATTTTCCCCTAAGTGCACATGCCTTGTCAATATACAATATACTGACACCTATAGCGTAAAAACTAAAGGGTGATATTACAGTACTTACAATGTCAAAGTTGTGCTCCATCTGCAGCAAAGTGATCTGAAATGACAGAAAACCTTAAATTAACATCCGCATGGGCGTAGGAATAAATGCATGCATGTCCCCTTTCTCCCAGAGAGAAGATTGTGTAGGGGAATAAATAGGGGAACCCAAGGCATTAAACCCCACAGCATTACCGAGCGTCTGCTAAAAAAAAAAAAAAAAAAAAGGTACACAACTGGGTTAAGGGAAGGATACAACCCAGTCAGCTTTTTTTTTGCCATCTGCTTACAATTGGGGAGATTTCCCTTCACTTCCTGTCCGATAGTCACAACAAGCAGTGAGAGGAAATCCCTCCAAAGTGAGGAAATCCCTGATGGTCAGCAGGGTCACCAGAACTAAGCTCCCAATTAGAAGGTTCTCCATTTATTCTTGTTCTGGCGACAACCCAAAATTTGGGATTTTCTTTTACTTTCAATGATAACTATCACCATGAAAACAGAGAAGGTGAATCTCTCTAACGGGGACAAACTATAAAAGCTAAAAAAATACAAAAAAGGCCACAAGCACTCCAGCATGTAGAAAAGTCAATATGTATATTGACTTTGCAGGTGTCGCATCATCAGAGCGACGTTTCGGAACAGCAAAGTCCCTTCCTCAGGCAAAACAGGACTTATTTTGAGGAGGCATCCGCGGTCATTTGAGCACCCACCCCACAATTAGGGCTTTCTATCCGGTCAGGAGTGCGATGGGTGTGTGTGTGTTTTTTTGTTTAAACTATAAAAACTGACCGATGTCCTTACCCCTCCCTCTACCCAGCCCTACCCCGCTCCCCAAAGTGTTGATTTCTATCTTACCAGTGCGGGCACTACATTCTTCACTGGGAAACCTCCAAGAGTCTCTTCGTTTCCCATCACCAGCAGTTGGCACATCTCAATGACTGCTTGAAGCTGCTGGCTCTCGTCTGTGGCTTGAAGACCCTGCAGCAGCTGTTGAGCCTTGGAGCCTGCAGGAAAATGCAAAACCATTTCCTTAATGTGCCTATACTCCTGTATAACTGCGGACAAACTCCACCTCTAAAATTAATTTACCATGGGCCCTTAAAGCCCAATAGAAGTCACAATCAATCAGCTGTTATACTAACAAACTGCACTCTGTACAGAACAGGTAAAAACACTCAACATCACGCTTCCTGATTCTGAACGGCTTGCCCTTGTCCTTTACTTCCCTTTTGCATAGCAGCAAAGAATCTTTCATTACCTAGGTATATCTTTGACAAGGAAATATTCGGACCGTTATACTTGTAATTACATCCCCTTATTGATCATGCCTCTTTTTACAAAGTATGGATGTGTTGGCTGGACTTTAAAACCTCAGATGCATACACTGCATATGTGATGGGTTGGTATTATAGGCATTGCATCACCTTATTTACCCTGAGTTGCACTAGGTTACCTATATTTGATCCAAAGTTCCGATTTTACACCTACTGGGAGCAGTATTTATCACCTTATGTTTATCAATCATTGCTATATTTGCTGGATTTTAGGAGGACCATCCCTGGGGCATGCTGGTCTTTTGTCTTGTCTTTGTTCTCTCCCCTTGATCTCTATTGTCTGGCTGCTGAATCGCAAAACTATGCATATACTACTGTATACTGTTCCAGTAATCATACCTGTTAATTGGTACGGTTTAGCTCTCTTTTCCTTTGTTTTGTTAGTTTCTTTTATTGAAAACCCAATAAAGTTGAAATTAAAAAAAAAAACCAACACCACCACATACATTCGCTTTGTAAATATGACACAACTTACTTGCACCACTTCCAATTGTTCGATGGAAGAGCTGAGACATGCGAGGTCCAAGGGGGCCAAACAGGTGAGGGGGGAGGCCACGTGCCTCCAGAAGAGCTGCAAGATTTATTGATTTAATATATATAGGTGATCATCCTGTAAGCACTGAGGCTACAGTCCAATGCTCTCTATACAATTAACATTAATGTATAGAGTTACAAAAAGTGATTGATCAAATCTAATATTTTGAACAAAAAAAATACCCAGACTGCTCTTGAATGTAAGAACTAGGATGCATGGAAATGCACTGCTGCTACACTGAAACATGTAACTCAACTATCACTTTCTAAATCAAAAACAGCTGAACATTATATCCCTAGCTTCTGTCCAATGATGACAATAATGTATTAAAGGATGACTCACTGCTCTGACTAAGTTATCCTGATGATATAAAATTTCTAGCCAGATGTAACTGCATATCATGGATAAGTCATTTAGGCTGCACAAATGACTAAGTGGTTTTCTATGGTAGTTGATGAAGATCTTCCTAGCTTAGCTTCACTGCAAGCTGGCCTTTGACTTTTTTTTTTTTATACCCAAGGTAAAGGTTGAGAACCAAGCTAAACCTGGTAAAGGAATCATTGTTCTAGTCTGTGGGGGAAAAGGGAACAATTTCAAAATGTTAGAGGTTTTCAATCAGAGATTAAAAAAAACACCAACAAATGCTAATTTGCAAGTTCTATGTTGATTGTTAACCCTTATAGCACCAAAAACCTGCAATGCTTTGTAAGGTCATACAAAAATATTGTGCTTTGTGTAGGCAGCCCAATTAATTTGATCTGATCTTGTTTTATAGGAAAAATTTACCCACTCCACAGCTTTCCATTACTAGGGGTTAGCAGTAGGTTGGTAGTGCCTGTAATGGAAACACATCTGAAGGGTCAAGCAGAGAACCATGTCTGTGGTTTACTGAAATCAACAGCAGGGTATTTGAACTTTGAACTACCATTCTAATGTTATTTAATGGCAAGCACTTCATAATAGAGTGCAAACCTTTACTTCGCAGTACAGAATGCTGCATTTTGAAAAGGGAGCCCTTAATAAAAGTTGTACAATTAGTAATAAAGTAATTGTGCAAGAAGCATTGGAGTTAGGAGTTCTCAGCCACAAACGCCGTGCTGATTGTTGACAAAACTAAAAGCCACAGAAACATGGTGTTGATAACACTTCCTATCATCTGATGCTGCATATCTAAATGTGCAACTGAGGATGGGAATAAATTGTGTGTGGTTTACCTTGTAGCCGCCCCATCTCAGAGTCATCGCTCTCACTTTCTCCAGATGTAGTCATCCCCACAGCACCAGCTACAGAGCTAGAGGCTGGAGGGGAGAGAAGAGATGAAGACCTTTCGCCTGTTGCTCCTGTTAAAGTTGTAAGTCATGCTATTACAATATAATTAAAAGCGAACTTAGCTTGTCCTTTATTATACATATATACTATATATACACAAAAACTATACAGGAATGCAGTCTGAAATGTAACTCACCCAAGTCTTACAGTAACATGAAACATTTGGAAGCTAACATCACAACTGAAACACTTGTAATGATGTGTGTCAAGAAAACTCAATACATTTCTGGTCACTCTAGTTAGAACAATGAAAGGTTCCCATCTTTGGTCACAAGTGCATGCTTTCAATTGTATACTTTCTAAAACAAAACATATCACATACATAATAGGCAACTGGGACACAAGACCACTTAATGTGAATCTGCCCTAACCTAACAAGTGTCCAAGGTAACAATAGTGCTTAAGTGCAGACAAGCTTTGGTGTCTTCGAGAACCTGTGTTATGTTTCCTTTGTCTTTAAATTAACCCCTCGGGCACTACAGGAGGACACAACTTGGATTGTAAGCCCAGACTGTGCACAGGGCCCTATGTTTTTCTTGAAATCCCTATACTTTAAATGCCAGAGCCTCTACTGCCAACTGACCTCCCGGCATGCACAGTCATCACAAGGTATTGTTACTGGAGGCACTGTACAGACCAGAGCAGGATCACTTTAATTCCTCCACGGCATCCCCAAAAGGCCTTATTAATTTATTACTGTTGTATTGCAAGAAGCAGATTCTCAACAGCATTTTTCAAGCACATTGTATAAAGTGGCTGGAGCTTCCCACCAAAAGGCATGTGCCATTATAGTACCCATGTCTGATAACAAAAAGATCCAATCACAATTTAATACACAAAATTGTATTTACTCCATAAAGTCATATTTAAAAAATTAAATTAGAAATGTTCTATTGTATACTGTAAGATATCGTACGTCAGGCATGTGATTCAATGTATATGTTTTACTGGTTTGTGTTTGTTTTTCGTGAGAGTGCTTCTAATGCTTAAATGCCGGTTTCATTGGACATTTTAATGTTTGCTTCAAGTGTTTTTTGCATCTCCATACACGTCTATGGGGATGCAAAACTGGAAAGGAGGGACCCGTCTTAAAGCCAATACCAGACTTAATTTCTGAGCGAGTGACTGACTTGGAGCAAGTATGTAGACTGAGGTCTGAAAGCAACTCCTGCACTCCAGGTCAATAAACAAGTCAATGTTCACATGGCATCTCCAATATCTCTACCCTCCAAATGCCCTTTATTGACAGCTGGAGACATAAGATGGTGGACATTTTGAATTCATTTGATTAATCAAGAAAATTTTATGAAATATTTGTTGCATTAGTAACATGTATGAGTTTTGCTTCACCACAAAGCCAACTTCACACAAACTATGCAATGACCATGTGTCTATAAGCAGGTTTGGGGACTGATTGTTGGTTTAGACTTTTTGGGATAACATGGCAGCAAGTGTCACCACTGACATGTTTCACATTGTAGAGCTCTTTACCATTGAAACTCCTTTAGAAATAAGCCTTTGGATAAACCCTGGTGCAAGTCTGTGCCTGAGCTTATAACATCCATAACAAGTTGTACCATTTTAAGGAAGTATCTCATCTTGGAGATCCAGGTTACTTTCCCCCCTTTTAGCATTTTTACCTATGCGTTCAATGAACTGAAAGAATGTTAATACTTCTACCCAGGTCTGCACTATTGTTTCTGTAATTTACTTGCAACCTCTTTCCCCCTGGACCCAATTTATTTTCACTTGGGGAGAAACATGCAGTTTGGCCGACGTGACTGTACGGACCCTCCAAGGAAACTACATATTGAGAGCACACAGATAGAATACCATAAAACATCCTGCGATTCTCAGTAATATACTGAATTATTCCTAAAGGAATATTATCTGCAATGAAAGACTGAGCAGTGAGTATTATTTGCTGCTCATGGTGGATTTAACGCTTCCAGTTTACTTTAATTTGCTGGACTACTGAATGCTTCAGTATGCAAACAGTCTGATGGTGTGCACTCTGGTCACACTAACTTGCTTCAGAAGACTTAAAACACACAGTGTGCTGTAATTTTCCATTTGTTTAATATGTTAAAACATGACAGATCATTACAGAAAACAGACATGCAAGGTATTTTACCTGCAGCTCCCTGGGTGGTCTCATCTGTACGGGCAGCCGAAGAATTGGCACCTTCCTGGTTATCAGGATCAGCCATCTTCTCCTGTCGGCGAGCTTCAGCTGCTGCTCGCTTGCCCAGGCCAGAGCCTCGCCGACTGAGGGGGGAAAAAAATTGCATATTATTTCTACCCAGAATCCTCCTTTAAGGCAGGTAACACATTTTTATCAATGCTCGAAATGAACAAAAAAGTAGGGGTGTGACACGATTACAATGTGTCAAGTTGTTACAAATGAAACAATATGCCCCCAGTGGAAAGAGCATTACATTAGCTCACAAAAAAGTGATCATATGAATAATAATCTACAAGTTATACCCAGCATAGAAAAGGAAAAAAAAAAAATAGTTACTCCATATCACCAAAAATATTTGATGATTTCTAGCAGTGTGACTCTATAGCAGGGCCATACCTTGCAAGCATGTAAAACCAACAGCAATTTATATATACACATACATACACACACATACATATATACATACATATATACATACATATATACATACATATATACATACACACTGTGTGTGTATCATATTAAAGTGCATATTTGGTATCTTTAAGATTATATAAAATTCATCAGTGACTAGTACTACAAATCAACCGTGTATATATACTATAACAAAAACCATCTACTGTATAATCAATCATTTAAAAGATATAAAGTGCTGATCAAACAATGAAATAGTTAATGCTAAACATAGATAAACAATCGTCTTCCTAAGAAGGGATTTTTAATTACTAATAGTGTTTTAATCAGAAAATTTTTTTTAGAACAAATATCTTAATGTGCAAAACCACTAACCCCTTTTAATTCACAATAACGACCTTCCTTCCCATTCTTTTCCCACTTAACCATACTTCCCTCTTCTCCTTCCCTTCTCACATGACAGATTAGCAGAAAGTGTCAACCAGGCTTAGTGAGAAGGAAAAAGGTCACATGATGATGTCATAGTGAATGGGTTGGGAACTAAACTAGTTTGCGAGTATTGTACTGGGGAGTAAGCAGACTGTAAAACTTTTAGTGGTGTTATTGCGCAATTAACAACCAATTTATTATTAGACTGTAGTTCATTAACTGTTAAAGATTCCAAAGCAAGCTAATCACAGACATAATGCATCTTTTTATAGTACATGAATACACACAGGCATCGGCAATACTAACAGTAAAAGCAGGTTATGATGCACTGCATACCTGGTGCTAGCACAGGAGCCCGTGGTCTTTTGTCGTGTGCTCCGCCGCAGGCTGGGGAGCTCAGCGGGGGGCGAGTCACTGCGCTTCTTAGTGGATTTCCTTAAGTCTGAAATAAAAATCAAAAGTTTACAAAATCACCTTTTGTTTGCTTCCAAAATTCATATTTTCTACAGTATATTTTCAGGTGACAGGTAACCTTTCTCCAAAATGGTCTTCTAGACATAAGATAACATGACCTTTATGAGGTGCGCGATTACTTTACCGTTCGAGCATATTGCACGCTTTGTTAAAAAAAAAAAGTAAAAAAAAAAAAAAAAAAAAAAAAAAAAAAAACACATTTGTTCGACATTATCATGATTGAAATGAAGCTCCACTTTGGTGGAACATCTCAGCAGACCTATGAAAATGCAAATAAGAGTGCTGAACCAAGTGCTATAGATCAGTAAACAGACGCCTTTAGGATACTTAACGGCCAAGATCCAAAGCAGAGAGCTCACGTGTCAATGATAGAATTTATACTTAAACTGGATGAAATTATTGTAATTAAACATTAACCAAGTTGTGTTTTTTTATTGTGAGGAACAAAATGTCTGTCATGTTTTCTTATCTGCCTGTAATCCCAGTGGGGAGGTTCTCTCTCCCTTCCTTCCCTGTGTCGTCCATATAAGAAATGGAAGCTGTGGGAATCAAAAGGGACAAGAAGCACAGAGCAATAAAAACATTGTCAGCAGTTCTAACCCTTCCTGATGCTGCTAAAATAGTGTGTTTTTGTCTGTGTCCCTGTTGGAGAGATTTCTTAGAACTTCCTGTCACGAGGATATCATCCCTATAGAGACAGACCGTCATAAAACATGACAAATGCTAACCTTTTCCCATTCTATCCAACAAAATGAAACCAAACTGCCATATTATGTAAGAAAGCACTGCTCATTCAATTTCAGAGAGCTACAAAGTAGTAGTAAGAGGACTATATACAGCTTTACAAACACCAGTGTGACATACGGACCGTGTATAGAAGATGCAAAAGGTTGGCCCCCACTGCTTTCTCCATTTCACCACCGGACACCTAGAATCAGACATGTTGCAGCCATAGTGTGGTATGCAACATGCAGGCTCAAGGCCTTGAGTATTAACAGAACCTGGGCAGCTGGTAGAAATGCGGAGTGTCCAGCAGCCAGAAGTGGCCAAGTGCCACTGCAGAGCGGGGAGGGAGTTCAGTAGAAACAGATTAGGGATAGAAGTTCCCATGGCTCATAAAACAGGAACAGCGGGGCGGGGAGATGCTTCCTTAACGCTACCTTGATGGAAAAGGAGTACAGGGTGCACACACCATACTCCACCCAGAAAAACGCCAAGGCTTTCTCACACAGCGTCAACCCTTTCTGCCATAAGCCAGCAGCAAAAAGAAGTATGGAACCCAGTGACCAATAACACTAAGTGAGTTCCAGTGCCTGGGCTGAAAGGCCTACTCATGCGAGCGAGTCTTCAGACAGGGCAAATACCCGGCAATGCCTGCGGCCCTGGACTAGTAAAAGAACTCCACATTATCAGATTATAGAGGGGGATCAATCAAAGGTCAGCACCACCCCACAGTGTCAAGTCTAGAAAGGGATCAACCACAGTGAAGGTCTGGAAACAAGGGCAGAGGACCAAATGGATGCAAAGAAGGTAGGGATAACGCTTGCAGCTCTACAGTAAAAAATAGCGCAATGGAGAATACCACCAGCTATAGAGGACTACAAATCCCAGCAATAATACATTATATACAGCGCAATGCAGAGTAACGCCAGCTACAGAGGACTACAAATCCCAGCAATAGTACATATGTAGTATAATGTAGTATTGCTACATTCCTCTATAGCTGCTGGTATTCTGCACTGCGCCGCTGTATTATGTACTATATTGCACACCACACTTTTTTTACTTCTACCGCGCCAAGCTTGCTTCCGTGATGGACTACAATCTCACCACAAACTAGTAGTCCATCACTGGAGCCTTTTTTTTATCCGATTAACCGATTAATCGAACCTAATAATCGGCCAACTAATCGATTAGGAAAATAATCGTTAGCTGCAGCCCTAGTAAAAAATACCCAAATCAAGAGAAAGGTTGCTAGAAGAAAGTACAGGTTATATCTTGAATCAGGAGGATAACTGAAGAGAAGACGATATCCATCCTCCTAGCAAACTAGGAAAAAAGTAGAGGTGCGCTGAAGGAGGGGTTATACCCAGGGCTGAGCTACAGTTTTTTTTTTTGTTTGCCAGTGTCCAACCCTCCTGTAGGTGGCAATATAACCTGAAGGTTTTAGAATTGCTGTGCCCCTCAATAGACAAGACAGAAATGTGTAAACTGCCAGACTGAAATTATTACACTCGATACTATTCGGAAAATGCTTAAATTACCCAAACTTGCAACAAACTCACAACCTCATGAATAGTTTTTTTTTGCATCTCCAACTAGGGGTACCCTCAAATCAACCCAAATCCTTGCCCAACTACGGGTACCCTAAAATCAACCAAATCCTTTCCCAGTTAGGGGTACACTCACAATCAACCAGGCCCTTGCCCAAGTTTGTATGAAATATCTTGGATTATAAAAGATAATGGGGGAATTTATCAAAACTGGAGCAGACAGAACCTGGAGCAGTTGCCTAAAGTAACCAAATCAACATCCCTCTTCAGTTTGTTCAGGTAAGATTTGAAAATGAGAGAGAAGCTGATTGGTTGCTGTGCAAATCTGCTCCAGATTGATAAATTCCCTTCAAAATCCAGTTGTAGACTTTATTGCTAGGTTTTCCTCACTGCTTTTACATGATCTTCATGTTAACTTATTCTGCTACATTCATGATCCTTGCCCAAAGGTCAACTCTAATTGACATGGATATGTGCTACTCATGTTTTGATGGGTTCTCCTTCAGGTACGCGCCCCCTTTCAAAGCTCAAGGCAGGATGATGTATTAATTGGCTTCTACCCAAACTAGCCCTGGTGGAACTGTAATGATGGCTGTGGAATGAATATCAGGCTAGGTCATTGAGATGTGACCAGATCAACGTTCTCTACAACAGTTTTTAATATCTTGGCACTTGTTAGAGGAATGAAATAAATGCAGAAAGTACTTAAAGTGACATTAAACCCTCAGATTTTTTAACATAAACCAATACTGTAATGTGTGCCTTACTGTAATCCATGGTAGTTTCCCTTCTCTTTGCTGCTCTTCTTTTTAAATCCTTATCTCTTCTCATGCTGGGGGAGAACCTCCCTTTGCAGCTGAGTGCCTCTTCCTGTAGTGCTGGCTCAGGATGCAAACCTACACACAGACACCATGTAGCCATTCCTGAGACAAGGCAGTCTGCTGCAAAACAGAAGTTCTGCCCACCATGAGAACAGATACAGATTTAAAAGGAAGAGCAGCAAAGAAGGGGGACACACATGCATTACAGTAAGGCACACATTACAGTATTGTTTTATGTTAAAAAAATCTGAGGGTTTAATGTCACTTTATTGGCTTGGCTACTCACCCTATTTATTACAATCATTTTAAAAGAAAACAAGGAATTGCCTCCAGCAAAACTGAGTAATTAGAAATCCTGAACCACTCAACACAAATCACAGAGCTATAATCATTTCTGACTATGCTACGGCATGGCATTAATCACCTGAAAAGAATGTTTGTACCACCTCCCAGTCAAAATACTGTAACTGGTCGAACAAGATTTCCAGCTATAAAACTGTTTACTAGCAACAAATATTTATTTTGTTTGTAACATTAACCAGACTTTTTTTTTTATATAAATACACACACTAAAAGGTGATCATAAATGGCCTGAATTTAGGCAAGGATTACATTTTGCCCTCTGGGGCCCTTTTTGACCTTCAAGGGTGATAACGAGGGTCTTTATTGTATCTTGGTGCTGGAGACCTGCATTTCTGCCCTTCCGATAGCCCTCCAGTCTACCTGTCCTATGCAGACCCTTTCCCATGGGCACTGTACATTCTAATCAGCAGTCCCCCCCATCTTGCAATGGAGGAAAAAAAAAAGTGAGCTGACCAGACCCACTTTAGGATGAGTGTTTACACCCGATACGCCATGACCAGGTCCGCCTAAATGGAACAGTTTCCTTTTTACACCCTGGACCTTGAGGGAGTTGGGGTAATTGGATGTAAAAACAGACATACATCCATTTAGATCTGGCTGCCCATAAAGCTCCATTGTGCTTCTGATGACATCCGCCTGAAAAACTGACAGGCAGATCTGAATGGACTGTCCATGTGAAAGGAGCCTAAAGGTGCCCATACATCTTTCAATCATTGGACGAAAATTTTCGTCCGATGATCGAACCGTTGTACGATTTTCGTACGGCGGCCCCATCCTGCCCCGACCATCACACAGTTCGTTGACTGCACAGATTTTCGTTTGCACATGAGCAGTGTTAATCGTATGATTTTTCACGTACGGAAACGCCACCAACCTTGCGAAAATCAGACGATGACAGAAGTTTTCTAACCTGCTGGAAAGTCAAAAGTTGTACGATTGTACAGCATTTGCGGTTGTACACTGCTCATCAACCTTACGAATATTGGAGGAAAACGCGATCGCAAACGAAAATCGGCCGATATTCGTAAGGTGTATGGGCACCTTTAGGGAGAAAGGGTACAATTAGTGATAACCGACAAAGATTTTACAACTGCATTTACTAGCACTTCCAAGGACATGTTACCCCAGGTCCAACTGCCACGAGGGGATAGTGAATGTGTCAAATTGCTGCCTATAATTTGGATATGCTCAGACAACCTTAGATGCAGCAGTAAGTCACATTGTTAAAGAGTTATCAGTGTAAAACACAAATACAGGAAAATACAAATGATCATCTCCTAAGAAAGCCAGAAAAACATGACAAACTTCATGATGGAAATCTATTTCTAAAACTGTTCACTTAGTTGAACAAATTAGGTAAATGCAGATTTTCTGAGCTATGTGGAAATTAAATCCAGATTTCCTTTAATCCTTCAGCACATTGTATAGTCACAGATAAGCAAGTACTCCTTTAGACCACTGCCATAGTATTTTGGGTGACCATGGACTAGAAACTAATGCTGTGATTCATA